TAAACATTCGGCTGGTAGATCGTGCATGCCTTGACAACTTATGATTATACTGGCAGGACATAGATTTTCAGCTTGGAATCACTTCATGCATTAAAGTAGAAGGTGGCAAATGTATTATTGAAGAGCCCTTGGATAGGCTTCTCTTTTGCATCTCTTGGATTTTACTCCTCCAGCCGCACAACAGCTCTGATCGGCCTGCTGATACCGCGTGGCCATGTTTTGGTTTCTCACTTACTCAAGAAAATGAGGTAATGGGACAGCAAAACTGGTCTATGTTACATAATACAGCGTAATTTTAAATAATAATGTGTTGGTTACATTTAAATTATCAATGGGAGGAGCAGGCAGGAAGAAATGTATCTCATGAAGTGTACTCCAGTACTTTAGTGAAGGTCGGAAGCTTCCTACTAGGCAAAAAATTAGGAGGTAAGTTACAAATGATCGTTGTTGGAAAAATCATTGACTTTTCTTTTCATTTTGGTCTACTTAGGCTACCTGAACACGTTGATCTGCTGCTAATTTTGTTATCATTCATGTCTGGCTCATATAGGCTGTGTTACTTAGACTTTGTCTAGTTTCAGAAACGAAATAAAAGCTGGAGATAGTCAGTGTTAAAACCGATAGCTGCTGATGATCTTGTTTGCATTTTACAGATATTGTTGGGCAGTCTCAGGACGCCGTTTCCGCATCTCTAGAAGAAGATAAAAGAAAATCCTATTGTCTGATTGTATTGGGGATCGTTCAAGTGCTGCTAAATTATATTATAACGGATCTAGAGAAACAGCCAGAAGGGAAAAAAAGTGAAATTGAAAAGGAGATTGTTGATTTGGTTGATCTTTATGAATCACTGGAAAAGGAGGTGGGGAAATCGAAACAGGGCAATATTGGCAAGAGAGTACGATTCAGCTCTCGTAATAAATCTGATGATACTGATGTGGGATTCGCAAGTATCAATGAAGAGCGAGAACAAGTTCCCTTTTTGTCTACTTCAAGTATCTTCCAGCTATTTCTAATCGCCTTCAAACTCCATAGTAGCAAATCCGCCTGTAATCTATCTGGTTTGCAGGATCACAGCCAGCCATCATTAGCCAAGACAGAAAATTCAATTTCTAGAGTTTTATCTTTCACTTTGCCTGTTTGTGTTGGACACATAAGATCATCTCTTTGCATGAAGGAAGACAATCCACTTAAACCGTTGGTCTATGGTGACATGATAGTTCTGGGACCTCCACTGCTAAAAGTAGTCTACCTGCTAAAGACAGGACCACCTTTAGTAACCGGACAGGCGAATAAGGAGAATAAAGGAAAGAAGGATACTGAAGGAAGAAAACAGTGTCTACATCTGGCCTTGCTTAGCTTGAAAGAGCTGCTCAGTTTATATTCAAGTGGATCTGGCTTGACTGGCTTGCTTGAGAATTTGTTGGCAGTGCCTGCATCCGAAGATACTATTTTAGAAGAGTGCAGCGAAGCTTCGAAAATTGAAGATTCACTTGTGAAGAACATCGAAATTTTCATGGAAAAATTCATCAAGCCCATGATCACGGACCTTATCGCTCAAAACTCTAACGATGTAGAGGTGAGTTCCTTCAACTTCAAGATAAAAAATCTCTTGAACACATTCTTTTACGTGCAGGAAGCTAATACTATAATATTCTCTTGCGCTGTTCAGATTCTTTGTGACATAGTGTTGATGCTTGGGAACACTCTACCTGACAAGTTCAAACAACGGCATGGATCATGGGCTCATCAAATCTTCGAAAGCTGTGACACATCTAACACCTTCGTTGCAAAGAGCATTTTAAAACTTGCAATCTCTTTTACCTCATCTCCTGGTGATCTATGCATAGCCGTGGAAGTGGCCAACGAGTTGCAAAATGTCATGGGTTTAGACAAACCTGATACACCACAAGTCTCGGAATCATACATGATCATAAACCAGTCAACAAGTGCTTCGATAACTTCTTGCATATTGCAATTAGTTGATTCAGCAATAGGTGACATGGATTGGGGAACGAAGAAGCTAAAGAATTTGTATGTGGTCTCTCAGAAGAGCATCCATCTTAATCATGATGATGAGAGTTCATTTGGATTGGATCTTGAAGAAGCCCTTTACGCAATGGCTGAGTCAACAGTCAGGATACTCTCTTCCTTTGTTTTGATGAACCTCAAAGGTAAGATTCTTGCCTAATCTGCTTCTCACTTTAACTCTAACTAAGCTTGTTATTTAACATGTACTTTCCATGATCTGCAGACTCGCAAGCAGCACAGTTTCTCAGATTAGCAGTTAAGTTTTACAAACAGTTAGCACAGATTGTGAAACAGAGGATTGCTCCTAAAGGTTGCAAGCAAACTCTTCCCAGCCTTAAGTTTCAAAAACTCGTCGAACTAACTTGCAAGAGTCTCACGGTTCCTTTATATCCCTTTTTAGCTGAACTGCAAAAGGTAAAAAGATTGATTGTTTCTTCGTTATTGATGTAATGATCCAAAACTCTTAACGTGAATCCTTCTTCCAAATTTGCAGGAACAACAGGAGAGTGTGAGTTCAAATTCCAAGGGTATAATCAACAAGATCAAACAGGAGAACAAGTGCATCCCTGATTTGATATTCCAGATAGAAGACTATGAAAGATACCTTATCCAGCTAAGTAAAGTTACTAAATTGAATTTGCTGAGGCATGCCAAGCGCAGCACTGCTAGAGACTTCAAGATAATTGAAGATGCAGAAGCTCCTGCAGGTGGTGAAGGAGGAGGAAACCAAGAAGAGACAGAGACACAGAACAATATTATTGGTGGTAACGAGGATGGTTTGGGAGATGAGTCAGAAGATGATCCGGAACTAGCACCACGGGACTTGGATTCTGATAGAGCCATAGCAGCAGAAGAGAATGATGAAGAAGTAGAAGAAGAAGAAAAAGAAGGAGAAGGAGAAGAAGAAGAAGATGAAGAAGAAGGAAGTGGCTTTAGTCGTCCTAAGAAGATAGCAAAGAAGAGTTTGGTTGTGGAAGATTCTGATGAAGATTCTGTAACATTTTAGGTTCATGTTTGTCGATAAAACTTGCAAGCTCAGAGATGGTAGCTTCTAGGTTTCCTGAACAAGTCTTCATGCATGGTCGCAAGCCTTGCTGTTTTGTGGCTGCTAGTGTGCACTGCATGTCGTTCATATTTCGTTAAAATCCCGGTTTAAAGTCGTTCCTCCACGACCCGCCAATAACCGCAAAAAAAAAAAATGAATCTAACGGTTGATATTACAAATGACACGTGTTCTTTCTATCATCTTTATATAGTAAATTACAAATCACTTTAAATCACAAGTCGCTTGACCAATAATAATTTGTCACATAATTTACTAATAAAAATTTTAGAATAAAAAACAAATGAAAAACGAAAATGCAAAAAGCTAACAAATAAAAATTTTAAAATAAAAAACAAATGAAAAACGAAAATGCAAAAAGCTAACAAGACATGTCAATTTAAATATTTATCTGATAAATCAAAAATATTTTCTCTGGTCACTTCGCAATATCGCATGCTGTTTCTTTCCATACCACGATCACCGTTTACCAACAATCTCTAGATAACTAACTACCTATGTCCAGAGAAAAAAAAAACTACCTACATTCGATTATTTATATTTGTGAGATTATTTTATAACTGCTTACTGTTACAAAAACACAGTTTATCTCCTTCTCGTATTAACAAACCCGATGTGGCCATGCAAGGCTTCTTCTCCGAGATAGTAAGTTTTACTATGGTCTTATTCATCAAACCTCATTACGTCATGTGCAAAGTTTTCTTTAAAAAAATTACAGGTTATACTTCTTTTCCAAAACAATAATCTGAGATGAAGAAGACAAGATGATAACTTTTTTTTTTTTGACCAACGCAATGGATAACTCAAAGTCTTCAAAAATCTATTTTATTTTTGCTGGCTTTGCATGCTTACAGAAATCGTATCCCATAGCTAATATATGACGATTGATTGAAGGTTTTGAAAGAGCAGAAAATGTAACACTGCCCCCAAAGACTATCAACCAAACTGGATTTACAGGTACAAAATATTTTTAGTTTAAAAAAATAAGTTACAAAATATTTTATTTTACTAACCTTTTTATCATGAAAATATGATATTTTTTTTTGTTATTTCTGTTTGATGCTACCTAAATAGCAAATATATATTTTTGGGTTACTTACAAATTCAAAATTATGTATAATAAATTAGAATCTAATTATTTTTATATCAGTCAAGAGTTTTTTTAAAACTAATACTATTTTTAACATATCATTTTGGTTTCCTATACGCAGTACATGTAGTATACTAGTTATTACCTATGAAGCCAACCATTGAAAGATTGAAATTTTATTATTTTATCGATTTGTATCAAATTTTGAACTGGTACAATTTAGGATTGACAAAATTTATTAATTTATTAAAATTATTAATTTATTAAGTATTAATTTATAGAGATTCTACTGTATATATATTAGTCCATTGATGGAACAAGATTATTATTGACATGTGAAAAAGTTGATCTGATACAACAGCATAAGTAATATACCAAACGCTGAAGTTCGGTTAAAAACAGCGTCTGCGTTTATAGTTTCTCCTCTATGCGTGGAAAGTCCCGAGTCCTGACGAATCCCAAAGTTGGTTGAATTTGCCTCCAACAAACAAATCTGCAATTAGAAATCTCGTTTTCGCCGTCATCGTCTTTCTGGAAGAATCATACAAAGTTCTTCTTCATTAGTTAATCTTACAGACTTACAGAGAAGTTGTTTGAATGTTCCAATCTAACCTCTAATTATTTTTTGTGACTTTCCAGGCTTGACAAAAATAGAAATCGATTCATCCACGACCCGTCTTAAACCGCTAAAAATGAAAACGAACGGTTGATATTACACCAACGACACGTGTTCTCATCTCTCCACCGATCACATAGTTTCCAACACAGAAGCAGTTGGCGCCTTCTTCCTCAACACGTCACCGTTTTCTCTCAACAACAATGGCGATCAAAGTCATTTCACTCTTCACTCTCTTCTTACTCACTCCATCTTTAACCGTAGATGATGAATCCGTCCTCCCGAAATTTTCATTCAGTTGGTCGGACGACAAGAACAAGTTTAAATCTGGAGAAGTCGCTGTAATCTCTATCAAAGTTCTTGGAAACTTCGAAACCAATGGGAACGCTTCGTTAGGACAAGGAGCGTTTAAGCCCACACTCACAGTCAACGGCAAAACTGGTAACAGTACGTACATCACTGGTGTTTCGCTGGATCTTGGTGACGATGTTAGCACGTGGAAGATTTCTTTTATTCCCATCATGGTTGGAGTTTTCAACATCATTATAGACGATGAAACTTTCAAAGTCTTGGATTCTTCATTACATTTTGAAGTCCAGCCAGGTACGGTTTCTTTGAATTGGTTCTTATGCTGAGATTTATGTGGGTTTAAAGCACTTCCGGATATTAATCAATTAAATTTGGTTTATAATATTGTTAATTAATTAATTTGGTTTAGAATATTATTAATTAATTAATTGTTGTTTTTTGTTTTTACTCATTTGTGAAGGGTTAATGCACCCATCTGTAAGTGTTGTGTCATGGATGGGACTAAACAACGTGTTTGAAGCTGGGATGAATGCATCCATCTTGATTCTTCCAATGGATGCATTTGGAAACAACATTTCCTTTTCCGGAAAGGAGATGGAGATGGAGCTGCAAGGGTTTTCCTTGTCTCTTCTCTATGAAAACGGTTCATTTGCTACCATTTTTAATACAACACACATCAGATGGATGGAGTCTGGTTATATCTCCATTGAATTTGTTCTTGTCACCGCTGGAAAATTCTTATTGCTTGTGGAGAAAGAAAGCCAAACACTGAATGGTGTTCCTTTACCTCTAGTGGTTAATTCAGGTGTGTGATTGGATCTTCTTCTATAAACATTTTTAGTTTTTTTTTAATCTATTTTGTTTAAAGCATTGAATATCTGATGAATCTTTTGCCATGTTTGTTGGTTTAAAGCAGGGTCTCTAGATGTTTCAAATTGTGTGAGCATATGGAAGTCAGAGCTAAACACATGGCAGATATTTTCCAAAATGGAGATCCTATTACACCAGAGAGATAGGTTTGGAAACTTAGTTTCCGGATTTTACGAGTTTGATGCTGATGTGGTTGGGAAAGAGACTGGTTTGTCCATACCAGTAGCAGATTTCCAGTTTAAGTATGTAGAGCCAGGGATTCAGTTGATGTCTTTCACCTTGTCTGAGCCAGGAAACTTCTTACTCACTCTTTCTGATATGGAGCACAATAAGAGCATCTCTAGTATGCCTTATGAGTATACAGTCAATATAGGTCAGTGTTTTCCTTGGAATCAAGTCTGGTGAATGTTTCTTCTATCCTCTCATTTCTTTTTCTTGACAGGTTATTGTGATGGGTTAAGAAGTATTGTGAATGGTTCAGGGCTCAATGCTTCTATTGCTGGAGAGTCTCTTGACTTCTCTATTTACCTTAAAGATGCTTATGGTTATCCCTCATCAGTCCAAGTGAATATACTTCTGGTTCAAATCATACAAGAGGCTGATTCCTCTTATGTTTTGCCAACTATAAAGCCAAGAGAGACCCTTAATGCTACCAAAGTATCAAGTCACCCAGTTTCCTTCTTACCGGCTTCTAGCAGCTTACTTACTCAGGCGAGTATCTTTGATGTAACTTATACTCCAAAACAGAGTGGAGTTTATAAGATCTTTATATCTTCTGGAAACATAGTTCTCAATGGAGGCCAACCTTTCATCAAGGAAGTAAAAGCAGGTATGATCAGGCTCCAATACCGCGATTTAGACAACTATATATTCGTGTTTGTGATTAGTACACTCTTTTCTTTCTCTTTAGGTGAAGTGAATGTGGCAGCATGTAGTGTGACACAATTCAATGCAAAAGTGCCAAATGCAATCAAGAATGATATTGTGGTCTTACTAGTGGACAGCTTCAACAATCCTGTACCTTCACAGCCATCTCCGTTAAAGCTGGAGATTACCTCAGCTAACACATCAAGTTTCACTACATGGAAGTTTGTTGATAACACTGATGGGACATATACTGGTAGCTATCTGGTCATGGATGTTGGTACTTACCAAATGTGTGTGTCCTTTGACGATAAACATATCCAGCCTTGCCCCTTTGACATCAATGTATACAGTAGTAAGTACTTTTACTTTTATTTCTTGTCACCATTACATCATTTAATATGTACTAGGTGATTTTCCCGTGCTCATATGCACGGGTATAAATATTTTTAATTATATATATATATATATGATAATAATTGATTACTATTTAGTTTTAATTTTAAATTAATTTATAATTTGATGCATCTTTTATTTTAATAATATTATATTACTTTAATTACTATAATTTATATATGTTATATTTAGTCGATTTTGTTGTTTTTACGGTTGATTTAGTTATCATTTGGATAAATTGGATTGTATCTCTGAATTCAACTGTAATATTTTTAAAATATATTAATTTTTAATTAACTACTTATTTACATGTACTGAGTGTTGTCTTAGATATGTAAATATATTTTAGGAAAATTATGTATAACTTAAGATATATTATGCTTAAAATGAATTAAAAATTAACTAAAGTGTATGATTCCAAAATACGTAAATTAATATAACGATAATATTCTAAAGTCTCATATGTTTTGAGTTATCCTATGATCAATAGAAGGTTACATGCATAAGTAGTTGATACACTTTTGATAGCTCATGAACACACATCAATATTTACAATAATTAAAATATTTATAAATTCTAAATAATTTTATGCTTTAGATCTATTGAATGTAAACTGAAATTTATTTTAAATAATCTTAAAATTGGAAATTCAGATTTTTCTTTGATATTTTTATTATGGTTATATTTAGTTTCACAAACATAAAAACATAAAATTTAAAACAAAATTTAATATTAAGAAGACAAATAATTTTAATAATGATAAAATATCATATATCTAGCTCATTAAACTAATTTTTAATTATTTGATCAAGCGATGTTTATTGTTAAATTTAATTTTATTTTTTAATATCTCTTAGCAATAAGCACTACACAAAATTGTGATTGTATTTGAAAATAATATTATATAAGTAAAATATAATTTATAGATAATTTCTGTAATTGAAAGATATTATAATCAACTAAATACATGAAAAATAAAAAAAATTCAATAATATTAACTATAAACTATTTTTATTATTCTAAAAGTATATTTTATGTTTTTAAAAAATAATTTTAAATGTATTATTACTATTTTGTGAATTTTCTTTTTTTATGAAATCATATTATATATACATATATTTTCGTTTTCAATTTGTTTTTATGACTTTATAAAAAAATTCCTTATTATTTGATATATTTTTGGAAATTTTTGAAAAGAAAAATATATAAAAGAATGAATAATACTATTTTAACTATTTTTAATTCATTAAGGGTATTAGTGTAATTAACCGTCGTGAAAATGAACGTGAGAGCGACACATAGGAAACTGACTTCTCAAATAATATTATAGAGATGTCTTTGAGATATTCTCCCTTGACTTCTTAGGTGGATACTTTCCAAAGGCGTATGATGATGAAGTTAACGTGTGGGAAGATGAGTCAATCTCTTTCTATCCTCTGGAAAACGACTACTTTGCTGGGGACAATGCTTACATTGTTGGTTTTTCACAAGTGAGCATCTCTGCTATATTATTGCAGATAGTGACAATCTCTGTCTTTGACTTAAACTGTTGCTGTCCTGATGTTATTAGCCAGGTCATGGTTCTCTTCTGAGAGATGGAAGCCTTCTTAGATACACACCAATCAGGGACTTCTCCGGAAACGACTCTTTTCCTTACACAATAGTTGATATCAATGGAAACTTAGGGATAGCTACAGTATACATCCTTGTTCTTACTGCTCCTCCTCAGTTTGTTTCCTTTTCTGGAGGATTACAAGCAACTGAAGATCTAATTAGTCCTAGATCAGGGCAAGTACTCTTCATTTTCTTTGTCTTTAATCTCCACTTTTCAGGTATAGTAATCTTATTCTTGAATGTTTATTACAGTGGCTTCTCTGGTCTGGAGATAAGCTACTCAGACAAGCTGGAGAACATTTCAGTTACAGTACAAGCACTTTCAGGATTGGTCATGCTGTCTCCAATGCTGATGCAGTTTAGGCCGCCTGGTAGTGGAAGACTCTCAGTTAGAAATGGTGGTGATGATGGAAGGCTTTTGATCTTAGAAGGACAAATAGGAGTTATCAATCCTGCACTTAAGTCAATACAATATCTAGGGTATATATATATATATATAGAATCACAGATACTCTTACTTGCGTCACAAGAAAGCTTCTAACTTCTCCCTTGTTTGTTTTCTTTTGGCCTCAGGAACGAGAACTTTGCTGGTGTTGATTCTCTTCGGCTAACTACAAGGAACAAGAATGGGATTAATCAACTGGATGTTCCTGTCTTCGTTGAACCAGTCAATACTCCACCGTTTATTAATGTTCCTAACTATATAATGCTAGAGAGTAATGGGACAGAGTCACTTATCTTTCACAAGGAAAGAGACAAGTTCAACTTTTCAGTTGGAGATCCAGATCTTGCTAGTTTCCCTGGTAATGTTAACAACAAAAACTTCACTCTTGATCACATTTTAACAACAATCTTAAATAGCACTAAATTATTATTATTTTGCTCAAAAAATAGCACACAAAAGAGGAGAATTCTCAGAATGGCTTAGGGTTTAGAGTAAAAATGTAAAAATAAATATATTTATATATTTGACTTTAGGGTTTAGCGATTAGAATATTTAGCGGGTAAGATTAGGATTTAAGATTTAGGATATATGATAATTCAGTGTTTTTATTGATTAATAAATGATCTTTTTTAGAAATTTGATCTGAATGTTCTTTTTGTGATAAAAACTAAAAATATTTATATATTTTACTTTAAGGTTTAACAACTAAAGTCTAAGATTTAGTATATAGCGGGTAAGATTGTGATTTAAGATTTATGATATAAGATAATTTCGTGTTTTTTATTGATTAATAAATGATATTTTAGGAATTCTATTTGAATGTTATTTTTGTGATAAAAACTAAAAAAAATGTTAATTAGTATATTTGCCCATGTTTTTTTGACTGGTGAAATATATATCAGGTGGTGAAGCTCATTTCTTAGTAACGTTTTCTGTGGAGGTTACTGATGGGTCTCTGCTGACAAACTTACCATCTGAGCTTATAAACTCATCAGAGCTAAAGTTCAAAAACTTATTCAGGTGGCAGCCAATTCAGACTTATGCTGCCATTTCTAAACACGTGAATGTTAAAGCCAGTGGGATCAGGTTTCGTGGAACAATAAAGCAATGTAACGACATGATGCAACATCTGCTTCATCACGTAAAAGTCAATCACCTATCTTTTAGTTATATGTTTGTTTTGTTTCTTGATATCTTTATTACAAAATATCGTGTAGGGAGGAGAGAACGGTGCTATCTTGACCTTGAAAATGAGTGACATGGGGAATTACGGGTGCTTTCTTGATTGCACTGAGAGAATTTCACTGCCTTTACACGCGGTGGCTCGTGTAAACCTTATTAGAAAGAGACCCTTAAGTTCCCTTGCAGCTCACGGTACGTGTATGAAAAGACTTTGGAGTTGTTTTGATTTGGTTTGGTTTTTTTTTTTTTTTTTTGGAACACTAGATTTGGTTTGGTTTAAAATACCTTTTTGTGACTTGGTGGCAGTTCTAGGATCTGTGATAGTGGTGGAGTCTCTTGTGGTATTCTCTCTTGCTACTGTGCTTCTTTTCTTCACTTGCAAATGCGCATTTCTTCTCCTACACGAGAGAAGAAGCCAACATAGTGTTCACATGAATCCGCAGAAACCAACGGTGGTAATTAATGACTCATCTTTCTTGTGTGTTTCTTAATTACAGTCATTTGTGTCCAAACATAAACAAGATATGTCTCTCTTCTGGTTCAGGGCAATTCTGAATTGTTAAATGAAAATGTTTCAGCAAGAAGAATCACTCGTTGTTTCCCGGAGAGTATGTGGAATAGACAAGTTGGCGAAACTTCAGCTAAGCAGAAGAAGGAGTTGCCAGAGATTAACATTGTTCCGTTCGAGCTAGAGAAAGGCTAGAAGTTGATTACTCTTAGCCATTGTGATTACATACAATCGAGTAATTAGGAAAAAAACAATCTCATGAAAGGTGCAAAATAGATGCATAATTAATATAAAATCACATATATAGGCTCTGTCATCATGGCTTTTAAGTATATTCTAACATCTCACTATTTTGTAAGCAGTTCTCATCACAAAACCAAACATTGCTTTTTTCATGCTTTTGTTGTTACGCTTCTTTCTTATTTGATATTCCCTCTATTTCCCATCCCAAAGTTGCTGCAACATTACAGCTTTTCTAAGTTTCTGCAAATTCGTATGATTTTGGATCAACTTGCAAAATGATTTCCTCGATGGAGTTTAACTCCAATTTATATGCTGTAAGTATCGATGGTTTCTTCACGAATAAAGGCAAGTTTTGGTGTTTGAATTCAAAACTTGCTTAACAAAAACAAATATTACAAGCCAAATGATTAAAACGAAACCCACACACTCCTATTATAATCGCTTGTTATCTATCATATGTGCAAGATCATCTAATCAGGAGATATCTAAAAAATCAAGACATAAAATTCAAAAATATTTAAATGTCAAATGTAAATAATAAAGTAAACTTGAAATCCAAAATAAACTAAAGTAGAACATCATTGTAATAAATTGTCAATAAAAAAATAAACTCCAGATCATATCAACTAATTTTGTTTCTTTCTACCTTCATTCACTTTATTTTCTTTATGGTGGCAAACTGAAATCTTTATCAAAAAAAAAAAAATCACAAATATAAAACTTTTTTTTTGACATCAACATAAACAAACTCATTTAAGATTCAGCAAACCAAAAACTTAACTCTACATCCATTTGAACAACATAAGATGATTGCTACTTAACACCATATGCAAGACTGTCCGCCCTTGTAACACAAATACAAAACTAAAAGTGAACACATAACTTCTTAACTCAAAATTTAGAATATAAAACATAATCTAAAAACATAATTAAAACTAAAAAAAGTTATCCGTTGGTTCAACCAATGTTGGATTTGTGTTTTAGTGGGGTTTTCACAAAATCCAAACCGGTTTCTTAGTAACCGGGTTTAATGGTTAAACCCTAGGTACGAGTCGGGTTTTAAAACACTAGTGTGAATAGTTGTGATGGTTAATTGATGTCAACCCAATTATTAATGGTGTTAAGATCTTATGATTAGTTTCCTTTTCCAAATTTATAATCCGAACCAAATATTCATTTAAAAAATATTAAATTTCAATTTTTGTTCATAAAAATTATTATTAAATCAAACAAACTAAATAGTAATATACTAAATCCCAGTAGCTTGAGAAAGATGCGACTCCAGTGGATGGGTTTACATACTATAGTGTAATGAAAGATATGATTACTTGATGATTAAGTTCAAGCAAATGAGGAGTTTAATTGGAGTTCAAGAAATTGATCTCCCTAATTCAAATTGGAAATAAATGGTTGAATGTAGGATCATTCAAAACTTTTGGAACTTAACATATTATTAGATGTTTAATATGTTAAGAGATAAACATAATAAAAAAAAATTAGAAACTGGAAAATAAAATTTTCTGTTAGATTATGTTTGTGTTTTCCATATCACACATCTTAAATGGAATTCTATTTCATATAAATAGAGATCTAATTGAGAGGTGTTCCATAAGATCTAAAAGAAATTTGATTTAGAGATTTGATTGTGAACCCTCTCATTTTCCTTGAATCCTTAGCACACTTGGAGCTCTTTTAAGAAGATATAGGACACATCTCTTCAAAAGTTCATCATATACCAGCAGAGAGGGGATGCAAAGCTAGTAACTTGTGAAGTTAAAAAGATCCTAGTTTACAATGGAATTGAATATGCTCACAAACAAACACAATATTAGCATTACTACTAACTAACTACCGTGTGTAAATGAAAGTATTAAAAGATTGTAATAACTGTAAGGAATAATTCTCATATTTTGCTTATGTTTTCTATGTGAAAGAATATATTTTTCTTATATTTTGCTTGTGTTTTCTATGTAAAAGCATATATGCAAAAGTATCGAAATAATATAGAAAGGCTTTAGACGATTGTCATCTCCTCTTATTAATAAAGGACTGCCTTCATTGTTGACATATTGTACAATTGGTAAGAGTAAGGGCAACAATTTAGCAAAATATTTGATATTCCCTCTTTTTAGTTTATTTCATATATAAAATGATAAATCTATTTTTAAATAAAATTTAATTTCGTTCGATATATGTAATTACATAGTATTAAAAACTATTGGTGATCAAAATAAATTGTATATATTTCACATTATCTTATTTTATGTATATTAATTTTAAACAACAACTAAAATGAAACATATGTGATTTGTTGAATAAAAACAAAATTAATAATTTTCATCCAGACTATTCATAAATTAATCCAAATTCATCAACTCAAAGTCAATTTTTTTTTTAAATTGAATGACTCACATCCCCAAATATATCTAACTATATGTTTTGTCCACACATGCATGTATAATTCTTTATAAATATTTATTAATAAATGTATTATTGCTTTAAAGATAAAAATTGTAAATAAAAAATTAAATTTATACTATTTTATAAATCTCCTAATTTCTCAATCTTTAATTTTATTGATTTAAAATCATTATTTTTAAATAACAACATTAATATTTTTTATTTTTAAATATGTTGTTATCTTTAACCAGTTTTTATTATATTAGGCTATAAACAGTTATCTAATTAAATAAACAAGTACATAATTGTTGGTATAAAGTGATGTTATTAAACTAAATTCTTAAAACTACCAAAACCTACAAAATCTCAAAATAAATAAAAAATACAAGAAGGTTATAACAAACCCAACTTTCCGTATTATATTAATCAAACTAAAAAAATTATTGATATATGTATGTTATATTGTGAAATACCTCCAATAATAACTGAGAAGAATATTACACAAACAGACTAAACATATAGACAAACAAAACATTAGTATGTAATATATAAGATAAGAACATTTTTCTATCCATTATAATTTTCATTTTTAAATGATATAATAATAAAGAATAAAATATCATTAATCTATTTTTTTCCTTTAAAACACAAATTGTTATTCTCCTATAAAATAATATTTATTTATCATAAAAATGGTCTTTTAATTTTCAAACTTTAATGATTATAACTAAAACAAATAAAAAAAGATATGTTGATATAAACACAAGATAAATACATAGAATTATCTTTCCTTTTTCTAAACACATTTTCCAGTTATTTTTTGAGATAATTTTTAAAATGTGGATTTATAATCAGTTAAATAATGAATTATATCATTATTCAGTAAAAAATATCAAAAACTCAATTAGTCTAATTAAAATCTCTATAATATTATTTGAGAAGTCACTTTCTTAGGTGTCGCGCTCACGTTAACTCTCACGATGGTTGATTACTATGATACCCCTAATGAATTAATAATATATTTAAATATTATTATTTCCTTTTTAAAATCTTCCAAATAACAATATAAAATAAAACGGAAATATTTATAAAATTTACAAAACTATTTAAAACGAAAAATAAGTATATATATATAATATGGTTTCATAGAAAAGGAAAGTTTACAAAATAGTAATATTTAACTTAAATATATTTTTAAATAACATAAATTATACTTTTAAGTAATAAAATACTTTATATTTATATCTTCTTAGATGAAAAAAATATTTTTATATAATGTGTTTCATTAAAAAAGTTCATACAAATAATCTTGATATTAAAAAAGAAATATTTTTCTTTAAAAAATAATTTAAACAATAAAATATATATTTTCAAATTAATTATTTTTGATATATCTATCTATTTTATTAGATGATTACATAAAATAATTAAGTAACATAAACTTATATATGTTTAATTGACAAAAAAATATAATTAGTATTATTGAAATATTTTTTAGTATATTTATTTGATTATAATATCTTACAGTTAAAGCAAAAAATATAAATTATATTTTACTTATATAATATAATTTCTCAAAAAAAAATCACATTTTTACTGCATATTTTAATAGATGTTAAAAAAAACTAAAAATAAATTTAATAATAAACATCTTTTGATCAAATAACTACAATTCTTTTAATATATCATAACACTATAATTTAACAAGGTAGATATATTATAATTAATAGTTAAAATTATCTGTTTTCTTAATAACTCTTTTGATGTTTCATTTTCTGTTTTTATGTTTGTGGAATTTAATATAACCATAATCTAATACTTAAAGCAAATCAGAATTCCTTATTTTTAAAATTATTTTAAAAAAAAATTCATTTTATCATCCAATCAATCTATGGCATAAATTATTTAGAATTTATAATATATTTTAATTATTGTAAATATTGATATATGTTCATAAGCTTTCAAAAATTTATTATTACTTATGTAACTTAGAATCAGACACTTTAGTTTTTATTTTTTTTGTTCTAAGCACAAAAAATCTTAAAATACATAATTTTACTAAGATATACTTATATTTTGTAGGTAACAACCAACATAAATGTAAATAAAATAATTAATCAAAAATTTAAGATATTTAGAATAAAAAAAATTATAGTTGAATTCATAGAAATAGAAAGAATCTAATATATATATATATATATATATATATATATATATATATATATATCCAATGATAAAACTGACTAAATATAATATATATAAAATTATAATAACTAAAATAATATAATATTATTAATACAAATTATACATACAAACTATAAATTAATATAAAATTTAAAGTAAATATCAATCAACTATTATAATATATTTATTTTTAAATATTTAAGCCCGTGCATGAGCACGGGAAAATCACCTAGTTATTCATTAAAACTGATGACTCAGCCTAAAATCATATAAAATTTGACAAATAAGCAAATTCAATTCCTAAATAATAATATAGATTAAAATATTTATGTTTCTTCCCTCGCCGTGATCATATTTTCCTTATGATAATACTCTGAAAATAGATGTTTATTATCACGTGACCAAGTAAAGAGGACCAGACATAGAAGAGGCACCGATCCTCTGCTGCCTCTCCATGTTAAGCTCCCGTAGACTCAGATACGGAACCACCGGCGTCACCGTCGTCCGGTACGGCATGCTCGAACCGCTCAGGCCCTCCGTCACGTAAACCGGACCAGACATCGAAGCAGCCCGAAAATTCCTAGCCCTTGCCATGTGAACGTCACGATCGTTAAACTCATTAATGTCTCCCTCAACGCCGCGTCTTCGCCATTTACGCCAGTTGAAGAAGAGCAAAGGGTTTTTCAAGAACCAACGATGTTTCTTGTTCTTCTTGTGGAGAGCGGTGCGTATCAGCTCGTCCTTGGAGATAGGTTTCTGAAGCTTGAATTGATGAATACTGTCGATGGTTGATGTTTCTTTCTTGTGCTTTCTCGCTTCTTCCAAAACCTTTAGAACATGCCAAACAAGTTTTCAAAAGGAGTCTTGAAATGAAACCAGAGAAAAAAAAGGAGGAAGAAGAAGAACCTGGAAGTAGTCGATTTGGGGATCGAAGCCATAGTCGCTGAAGATCGGGGAAGTGTTCGACGACATGTGTTTAGGGGTTCGAGAGAGAGAGAGACAGAGCTTTTTAGCTTTGGTTCAATGCTCTTTCACTGTCTTGTCTCTTTCCACCTTCTTATTCGGTTATTATTACATCCCTAGTTACTTTCTCCAACTTTACATAAACTAAACTAGTGTTTTGTAGTTTGTCCAAAAAAAAGAAAAAAAAACTAGTGTTTTGTAGTATTCGACTGTATTCATATTACATGATCATTTATATATTTTGAAATTTATTTTATTATTTTTTTTTTTGGATCAAATTTATTTTATTATTTTTATACAATATGCAGTTACACTTTTGTGTTTTGGTTTTGAGTATCTCAAGACCCATTCAACATTTAATAGTACCAAGGAATTCTCCTGGTCCCTTCTTATCATTCATTGTTCTGCTGCATTTAATACTCACAAACAGCATATGACTTTTTCTTATCAAGATTTCACCCCAACTAGGAGTTATTTAATACGAGTTACAAGAAATTTTCATTTTCGAAAAACAGTACTACATTTTATAAAGATCCTTAATATTTACAATTGTTTATAAAAAAACATTTACATATTGAGTTCTGGTTTAAAACATTTTGAGTATAGATAACACAGACTGGACAAGAGGGTGAGAAAGAGTTCACGCGACAAGCGTGTGTATAACAACTCCAGTACTTTATGTGTTCTTCAATATATGTGTATGTATAAAGTACTTTGTATTTGGCGTTCATCAAAATGGTATCCATAGGTTATTGATTAACGAATTGATTTTATTGTACGATGATTAGTTTGAAGACAGAAAAAAAAATTAATTATAATTAAATGAATATTCACCTTCCAAAAACAATTTAAAATTTGAAAATAAAAAAGAATGAAAAAAATTCAATGAATTGTGAAATCTATTGCAGGTTGGGCAAATACGGCACACCAGTTTGTGGAATCCACGAGCCACCACTTAAATATCTTCCAGGTGCCCATCCAAGAGCCTGAGGACGAGTAATCCTCTGAATACCAGGCCACTTAACACGTTGGGCTTTGTTTGACCCAGGCCCACTGTTCTCATACTCAGCATAGTAAAGCGTTTTGAGCGCAAAATCACCACTCCATAGAGACCATCCCGCTGGATCAATAACATCGCTTATGGTCGTTCTCATCACTATGGTCCTTGCAAACTCCTTCCATGGCCTTCCAAGATATGCTTTGTTAATGTGTTTCACCGGAAGATACGCCGGTTCTCCGATGATGCGGCAGTTGTGGAGCACTATAGCGGTGGGTTCACGCTTGTCGGTACGTCCTTGAGCAGTGATCATGCACCCTTGGCCTCCCATGGGTTTCCTAACCACGATGTTGCAGTTTTGTATGACGGTGTTGGAGTCGCCGAAGATGAAGTCCACTGTGCCTGAGATGGTGGAGTCGACGTAAAATTGGCGATGGGAATGGACGTAGAGTGTGTCTTGGTAACCATCGATTTGACAGTTGAAGATAACAACACAGTCAGCGGAGACTCTTAGGGCTACAGCTTGTCCTCCTGGTGGACCGGCTGTGTTCTCAATACCGATGTTCTTGGCGACGAAATTATCACCCTCGACCGCTACAAAAAAATATGGTATGAATGTTAAGAATTAAAGAGTCTAAAACGATTTTTTAACGATTTCACCTAAATTTTTCTTTTACGAATTTGAGAGTCTAAAATTTTTTTGAGTCTAAAAAGTTGGGACCCTATGTTACATGTTCTAACCCGAATAGTGACATAAGGACAAACACTATCACAAACCATTACTCAGAGTTGATCATGAGCAAAAGAGTCTAAAGCGATTTTTTAACGATTTCACCTAAATTTTTCTTTTACGAATTTGAGAGTCTAAAATTTTTTTTAGTCTAAAAAGTTGGAACCCTATGTTACATGTTCTAACCCGAATAGTGACATAAGGACAAACACTATCACAAACCATTATTCAGAGTTGATCAAGAATTCAAAAATTGATTTTGCGGGTTTTAAGAATTAAAATACATAGACTATAGGTCCCTAAAAAAATTAAACAATTAGGCTCTGCCATTATATATGTTACATGTCTTGTGAATTTTTTTTTACTATGTTAGTGGCTATATGTGGAAGTTAATTAGGGTTAAGAATTGGACTCACAGAGACTGGCAGTCACGTATGTCTTGACCTTGCCGATAGCAAAGTTGAGATTACCGGTGATCTTAGTTTTGGTGGGTCCATCTCCGATGAAAGTGACGTGAAACATATTTTTTGCAACAATGACTTTCTCCTTGTAGACACCTTGCTTGATGTAGATAACGAATGGCACTTTGTTGTTTATAGGCACAGCTTTCAAGGCCTCGTTTATACTTTTGTACTGACCACTTCCGTCCTTGGCCACCACCACATTAGGTTTCACACCTCCATGTGGTGCTGCCATGAGTCTTCGAGTGTCTGGTCCTACCCAGCTTGGGGTAGCGTCTTCAGCTGACAAAAGCTTTCTCGCATAGTCTCCGGTTGATTCTGTTACCCAAAATGTTAATTAGTATCCTTAAAATTCACACAGCTTTGCTAATAACTATATTTTTTTTGGTTAATCTTAATAACTAAATAATTTCGACAATTTGAGAGTTATGCGATCTATGTGTAATATTCTCTTAAAAATTTAAAAACCAAAACTAATGTTTCAAAACTAATGTTTCATCCGGTTGTGCCCATAACCGGCCATCCGGTTGTGCCCATAACCGGCCATGCACACGTATTTCAAATGTAAAAGTGATAATATATATATTATTTTTATTTTTTTGTAAAAGTGATAATATGAAACTACCTGTGACGTTGGACTTTCCAAGAATGCTGGACATACTAGTAACCATTGCAAGACTATTACTGGTGAGTTCTTTAGATGGTTTGAAGATTGTTTTCATGTCTTCTGTAAGGTGTGACTTAATTTCCTCAAAAGCATCCATGCATGTCTGTTGATACGAAATGGACCCACTGAGCCAGACACGAAGATCCTGGACAAAGCTCTCAATCTTATCAACTGAAAAGCCAGAGAAGTTGTCAAAACACTTCTTCAGATCATCAGTAGCATCATTCATAAGCGTCTCACACAACTCCAAAGACTCTTTGGTGTCATTATCAGCCTTGGCTTTGAGCTCGTGGGAGGATTTCTTGATGCCATCCTTGATGGATTGAATGGTGATGTGGAGGCTGAGCTTGATGAGATCAAGAGGCTCTGTGGAGTTAGGAGAAGCTTTCATGAAGCTGGTGACACATGTGTCTTTGAAGTCAGTAGGTTCACAAATCGCTTGGACTGCCTTGCTGGTCATCTTAATATTCACGTCGGCTTCTTTCGTACAATCACGGGACGCCTGTCGGTTCGTTATGACGGCCACAGAGACTACCATGATAACGAGCAAAGCCGAGATAACCCCAGCGATGATGCATTTCTTCTTTTTGTTTTCACTATGGAAGCCCATTTTTTGTTTCTTTCACAATTTCAAGAAATTAAAAAAAAAAGTAATTGTTTTTAAGTTAATATGTTATTGAACTTGTAAAAATACAAGAAAAAAAAACAGAGTAGGAGAGGCTTTTAAGGATGGCTTAAGCCCCTTCTAACTCTGTTTTTTTTATTATTCTTTTACAGTTTGTGTTTTATGAAAGTTGTTGGATCATGGAGTTTATATAATGGAGATACAAAGTGCTATTATTGGAGTTTTTGTTTTTAGGGATTTGATTGTAGGACAAGTTAGGGCTCCAGCTCTTGGACCGCTAATTTATTATGGTTGACCTATTTAATTTGTGTGTTTCAGCTCTAGAAATAGTAACTATTATCAGATCTTAGATACCAACCAGACAAGCACATTTGAAATTGATAGCAAGAAAACAATCCAAAAACAAGTTCAAAACCAAGCCACCCATGGAAACAAAAGCCAATAATAGCTTCTTTATTTAAGTCAATAATAACATGAACACAAGAGCAACAGAGAGTGCAGCAAATAGAGTCCAACCATGACTTGCTCAATGCTCATCCGTTGCCAGCGGAATTGAGTTGGCCCGTAACGTTTGTTTCTCTACTTTCGATCTTAGAAACATGTTTCTAGAATGAATAGATACTCCTCCTAGAGTAAGCAGCCTCGTGCTTACACACGCACGATGTATTCCACTTCTCTAGCTCAGCTTCACACTCTTTTTAACTTGTGCTTATGGCAACGGTTCGTGATCAGCGAAAGAGAGACTCTGAATCACTAAGAGGATACTTGAACCTTCCTCTGAGTGGTGTATATGCTAATTGCCAATGCACAAACATAAGAAAATGGTAGTTGTTAAAAAATATTATTTAATATATAACTTAAGCTAAATATAAAAATTTTACATAATTTAATTGGTCACACAGTATTCATTTAATGGAAAATTGCATTAAAATGATAAAGCTACTTATATTGTGAACCTTAAGTATTTTTTTTTTGTTAAAGATACTTATATTATGAAACAGAGTTTTCTCTCTTTTACATTTATGTTTGTAGTTGTTTATGCTATTTAAGTAATAAGAACATTTTACCCCAACATTATTCAAATTGTGATTACTTTTTCCATGCAAAAAGAAAAAAGAGTCTGAATGTGTTCATCGATTACTGATGACTGAAGCTATAAGCCTATAACTAATGGTTTTAAATGTTGAGTTTGAATCAAATTTGGTTAGATTCCAATTATGTATTAGAATTTGGGATGTACTTGCGTTATTATATGTTCAATTATTCATCCTTGTCATATAATATCATGTTTTCTGTAACATAGATATCAAGAAACAAAATATCATAACATATGAATAGAAAATCTCAGTAAACTCAAACCAACTTGTCTTACCATATTCCCAAGCCACATACAAGGTTTCAGTTTCACGATTAGCCTTCAAAAATTTATCTGTGTAGAGTTCCCTAAATCAATTTAGCTACTGCTTCAAGAGCTGCAGATGAGTTCTCAAACTTATCAAAAACCTTTATCTTAACCATTTCGTATAAATGCACAATGAAAAAGTAACTACATATAATTTATAATTTACTGAACAAGACAAAAAATTGTTTTTTTTTGTGTTGAATATGAAAACATTTTTTCCTGAATAGCGATTATTTCAAAATAATAATAATTAATATAAGAAAATTGAAAAGTTAATAAAAACATTAAAAGTAGAGTAATAGATAATTCACTTCAGTGTTATACATTTTTCATTCAATAACATTTTGAGCTATTTTGGCGAATAACGATGAAGAAGAAGATAATTAGCTAGGTAGTAACGTATATTGAGTGCAAGAAACAGGAGTGGTGGTTTTACCTGGATGTCCCTACTTACTCATAAGGATTTCGTATGCAAATGTCAGAAATGGAAGGTGGCCTATGCTATAGCTTCTGAGTCAATAGTACCCTATAGTATTCAAATTC